TATCGCATATATCACGCATCGTGTTTACTGTCCGGCTCCCTCAGTAGAATGTCAACTCCACGAGGCCTTCTGTTTTGTATCCCTGGTGCCTAGCATCGTGCCTGCACACGGTAGATGCATGATCGATATTTATTGAATGAATGAGGTCAAGTCCCAGCTCCTTCTTCTATCTGGGTAACCTTAGGCAAGCATCCTAGCATTTCTGAACCTCAGTTTCCTTGTCTGTGCAATGAGGGTAATAATTTTTTTTTTTAATAAAGAAAACAAAATTTATTGCTTACAGTTGCAGAGGCTGGGAAGTCCACAGTGCAGGAAACACATCTGGTGAGGTTCTTGGTGGTGGCGACAGTGACCAAGGGATTTCACGTGGCAGAAAATGGCAGAGCAGAGCGAGGATAATAATTCTGACACTGCGAGGCCCATGGGCAACCATGTCTGTGGGAGGGAGTTGACAAGTGGAAGCAGTCTGTAAACAGGACACATCATTATGGAGACTGGCTGAAAACAGTTCAACAGAGTCCTGCCTCTACTGCCTCCTGGCTGTGTGACCTTTGGATAGTTGCTTCATGTTTCTGTGCCTCTGTTCACTTGTGGATTAAATGGAGAGAATAAAATTATTGCTGACCATGGTGGGAGAGGGGGCTCTTAGAGGATCATGAGAGCTGCTAGACGTAGATGTAGAAGCCCTTTAAAACCCGGGAGCAAGCGTGGGGCCCAGGCGTGGGTTGTGAGCGTGTGTCCGGGTGTCTGAGGCTGGGAAGGGGTACCTCAGAGATGCACACTCTGCTCATGGGAGGACACTAGAAGGTGCACTCCCTCAGTCTGCTTGCAGGAGGACACTAGAAGTCTGCTCTCCCCCAGTGCATGTTTCTGAACTGTGGCTTACCTCACCCATAATTGGTAAGAACGATGGGGGAGCTATGTCAGTAGAACAGGGAATTGCATTGGTTCAGTAGTGATTTTTCCTGGCACGCGAATGTCTGGAGATTTCTCACGATTAAAGAGCAAGCCTTAGTGATGTATGAATTCCTTAAGATAAATGCTGACAGTTCTTCAGAAGGTGCCTTTCTTTAGTACACATACAGATGTCCCTCATTATCTAGACTCTTGCTGTTCACTGTCCAAGACGCAGGAACTACATTGATTTGGATAATGCAGCATCCCTTCCAGCCCGAATTCTCTAAACTCCCAATATCCAAACTCTCACCATCCTAACTCAAGGAGGCAATAGATTTGGTGATGGAGGAATACCTGCCTGGCTGGTTTAGCTGCTTAAGAGAACTTAACAAAGTTTTCTGCTAAAACTAGGAATCAGATAAAGATATTTCAAAGACATATCTCTGTGTTAAAAAAAATTGATTGAAGGGGCCAGCCTGTGGCTCACTTGGGAGAGTGTGGTGCTGACAACACCAAGTCAAGGGTTAAGATCCCCTTAGTGTGGTGCTGACAACACCAAGTCAAGGGTTAAGATCCCCTTAGTGTGGTGCTGACAACACCAAGTCAAGGGTTAAGATCCCCTTACTGGTCATATATACATACATACATACATACATAAATTTAAAAAAAAATGATTGAAGATGACTTCCCATTGGGTCAGACTTTTAATCTTGGTAAAGCCAGTTTCTATTGGAATAAAATGCCCCAAGAACCTACATCTCAAGGAGAAAGCACTTGCCCCAGTGAGGAAAGTTGCAAAGGGCTGAGAGACAGGCATTGGGTGCAAATGTCAGTGAAGTGTTAACAGTGCTGTTGTTTTTCATTAGGATTGTTCTTGTTTTTGTTGGCGCTCTGATTACAAAGTGGCATATGTTTTGAGTAGTTGGCCCTAACTTTATTTTTCCGTTAACCTTGTTATTTTTTAATACATGATTTTGCAAAAATGCACATTTTTTTCAGGGATACAAATGCCACTTTGTGGCAGAAATGCCTGAATTTGTTCATCCTCAGGAAGCCCTTTCTCCGGGGGACCATTTGTGCCAGATGAGCTGCTGTAGAGGCTGGAAACATTGCAGGCAGAGGCTGGAAGTTCCTCTGCTCAAGGAGGTGCTGGGTGCCCAGGGATGGGGTGGACCCTGGGACAACCAGCTCAGCATTGACAAGTCTCTCAGTCTTCACTCCACTTCCCTCCTGGTTCCAAATGTGGAGACTCAAGGAAGGGAAAGGAGGAGGTTTTGCTCTTTCCCAGGCACTGGGCTATGCACTCTATTCACCTCCCTGAATTTGGCATGGTGGTTCCAGGCTTTGGAGCTGGAGTGGGTTCAAATCCTAGCTCTGCCACTTCTAGCTGGATGACTTTGGGCAGGTTACTTAATCTCTCTGTGCTTTGGTTTTCCCATCTGTAAAATGGGGATACTAAGAGATCCCTCTTCTAGGAGTTTTGGTGGGATAGGAAGTGCTCTTTAAAATCATCTGTTAATATTTTTATGCTGACCAGAGCAACCCTATGAAGTGAGTGTATTTGGTAGGCCAAGTGAAGCTAATCTGTGTTCACTAAGACACTCAAAATATGGTGGCTTAAATACAACAGGACTTTGTTTCTCTCTTATGGGATAGTGCAGGTGGAGGAGGTTCAGGGTTTATGGGCACCTCTGCCATTCAATCTGTGGTTTCCATCACTGAGTTTAAGGTGGCTACTATGGTTGCCAGCAAGTTGGAGGAAAGAATGCAAGGAAAAGGCATTCCTGATTCCTGGACATGGCACATGGCATCTGTGCTCACTGCCACTGGTCAGAACTGTGTCACGTGGCTCTCCTAGCTGCAAGGGAGGCTGGAAATACAGCCTTGGGCTGAGTGGTTATGCACATACTCTACTACTATAAGAGGAATCTAGAACATATTGGTGGGAAACATGTCAGGGTGAGTTTTATGATCTCCATTTCACAAATAAGGAACCGTGCCCAGAATCACACAGCGAATAAGCAGTGGAGATGGGATTTGAACCCAAATCTTCCAGTTCCCAAACTCTGTACCAGGTTGCTCCATTGTGCTTAGGCAGCCCAGTTCCATGTCACTAAGAAGCTTTACGGGTGTCAGCAGGGGAATTTTTCTTGGACAAGAGGTGAAGCCTTTGGGGGTGGGGGTGGGTAGTGTCCCAGCTGCAGTGCACAACACAGATAGCTAGTCTGGGCCTCATGATTTCTAGGAAGATGTCTAAGAGAGTAGTGGATTCTGCCTCTCAGCTCCCTCCACATTAATTCCCTCCTCTCTAGCAAGGTCTCCTAACTGTTGTAGATACATGAATGCTTCCTCCAGAGTCCCATCACCCTTGCAGGCCAGTACTTCTCTTCTCTCTCTGTCTCTCTCTCCTCCCCTTCTGGTTCGTGTACACAGGCACTCATAAGACTGCATACTTGCACTCACAGCACAGTGACAATTATATGTTCTGCTTCATCTTGTTTTAAATTACACTCTAAGCTTTCTTCCATGTTGCTGCTTGATAATCACTATTATGTTTGCAAATGCCTGTTGTTACTCTGGACGCTGTCCTGTGGTTCACCTTCCACTCAGCTGTCAGAGGGATGTCTCTAAGATGTGAGTCTGATCCTGTGGCTTCTCTGCTGAAAGCCATCATTGGCACTCCAGGACTTTTGGGACAAAGAGCAGGCTTCCTGGCACCAAAGGCAACTAGACACTCGCCCCACTGCCCCTCTCCCCGCTCCTCCCTCATATCAGTCAGGGTCTTGGCAGGAGGCAGAATGCACTCCGGGTGGTTCTAATAAAGAGACATTAATGAAAGGATGACTTCTAGAAATTAGGGTGAAGGGATCAAACAAGGAATTTGGGGGATGCAGAGATAAGCAACAGCAGACAGATGGCAGAGGCCCTGGAGCGGTGAGAAATACCCAACTTCTTTCTTTCCTCTTGCCCATCTCCTGTGAGTGCCTCTCCTTGGTTGGACCCAGCTGGAAGCCAGAGGGCTTAGGGCCCAGAAGAATTGGCCACAGGGATCAATGCATGGCAGAGAGGGCAGACAGTGGACCTGGGAGGTGTGCAGGACAAGCAGAGAGCATCTTGCACACCCACAGCCCCCACGTGATCTCATTGGTCTGTGCAACTTTTGCTGGGAAAACCTGTCTGTCTTTTCCATCTGGCAAACTCCTGTGTCTTCAGTCTAGTTTCAGTGCTCCTTCTCTGTCTCCCCATTTTCGTTCCTGACACACAGCATTGTGATGCCTGAGTGCTCAGTATGTAGCCGATGAGCAGGGACAAGGGTGGGAAGAGCAAGGCATTAGGCTTGGGAGCAAAATGTAAGTGTAGGGTAGGGAGAGGTTTGCCAGAAAACTCTATAATCAAGACAATGTTTTAATGCAATATTTTAAAAATCAAATCAACAAACTACAGCCCATGGGCCAGCTGCCTATTTTTTTTGAGTATCCCCCCAAACTGGAATAGGCTCTCAAAAGCGCTCTAGGATGGTGTTTAAAAATTTGTTTGACCTTGACTCAGAGGAAGAAATTAATTTCACATTGCAACCTCCTACCTCACCCCCGACAGACGTTTCTGGACTGAAACAGAAGTTTCATGATGCAGGACTCATCTTCACCAGACATGCAATGTACCCCGGTATTTTCTAGTGTAGTCTATTCAGTTTCATTAAAAAATGCTGCTCACAACCTTTCAAATTCAAACCTGCAGTTTGAAAAATGTTGGTACCGTCATATTGTCCTGCTTCGTTTTCTCCATGGTCTTTTCGCTGTCTGCTCATTCCTTCTTGTGATTTGTTTGCTTATGGCCCGTCCTGCCTGCGGGGCGTAGCCCCTGGAGAGCAGGAACCTCATCTACCTTGTCACTGCTGTCTTCTTGACTCTGAGGACAGTGCCTGGCATGTAGCAGTTCAGTAAAGAACTGCTGAGCGAGTGGATGAGTGGGTGCTGGAGCAGAGGGGTCCCTGCCCGCAGCCACCTTCTCTATCTAACCGGCCTGCTTTCCTCCTCTTCCCAGTTTGCCTGGAGCTGCAGCCTTGCCCAGGACACGCTGGTGCTGCAGCCGTGCATGACGCCATGGGCCTGCTGCTGCTGGGCCTGCTGCTCCTGCCCTGCGTCTCCGGACTGCCCTTCTACAACGGCTTCTACTACTCCAACGGCAGGAACCCAGGCAACGGCCATGGGCAAGGTGCGTGGCATCCTGGGCCTGGCTCTTTGCTCTGCTGGGTGACCAAGACCCCCCCCCCTACCTCCTGCTGTGATGTGCAGGTTCCAGGCTGGGAAGGGGACAGGGGGTGACGCGGCAGCCCCTTTCCCATCTGGGCCCTTGCGATAGACCAGCCTCTCTTCTAAGATGACAGGAGGAGATGGTTTAGGACTCTGTGTTCGCTAGCCCCTTACACACAGCGCCAGGTTGATTTAGGGACGGCACTGCACTTTTTATACTTTCCCCCAAAGTTCTGCCAGTTTTTCAAGATTCAGCTCACAGGTGACCTTCCTTGGTCTCCCCAGTGGAAAGAGGGTTTGGGGTCAAATGGGCATGAGTTCGAATCTTAATTCTGCCTCTTACTTGCTGTGTAGCCTTGGGCGGGGACTTTTTAGTTAGCAGTTATTGTGCCCCTAACGTGGGTCAGGCACACCTCTAGAGGCACACCTTACATACGTTATCTTGTGTAATCCAAACAAAAACCCAGACATAGGCCAGGGTGAGAAGAAACACATCCAACATCCAGTGCAGGGAGCGGGTTGTCCCTGCAGCCCTGAAAGTAGATACTATTATGACCCCATCTCACAGATGAGGAAACTGAGGCTCAGAGAGTTGAGCCCTTGCCCAGGTCACACAGTTATTAGGAAGACAATCTGAGATATTTTTGTGGAAAGAATGAAAAGATCAATAATATCCATCCATTGCCATGAAGCACCTGCAGCCTGGTCTGGAGATGAGACATGAGCCCAGTGGTGGGGCTGGGTGTCTCTTCCTTACTTTTTTTCCCCCTTTGATAAGATTTCTGTGCCTTTGGGGAAAATCTCCCTCTTTTTATTGGTCTCCTAGGGCTGTTGTAACAAATTACCACAAACTTTGTGGCTTAAAACAACAGAAATGTATTCTTTCATAGTTCTGGACACCAGAAGTCCCAAATCAGTTTCATGGGGCAGAAATTCAAGTGTCGATAGGACTTTGCTCCCTCAGAGGCCCTAAGGAAGAATCTGTGCCCACCTTGCCTCTTCCAGTTTCTGGCAGCTGCCAACATTCCTTGGCTTGTGGAATCAGCCCAGTCTCTGTCTCCATGGTCACACGGATATCTCCTCTCCTGTAGTCAAATCTCCCTCTCCCTCTCTCTAAAAAGAATCTTGTGATTGCTGTTAAGGCCTATCCAGAAAAGCCAGGATACTCTCTTCCAACCTAAAGATCCTTAATTCAATCACATCTGTAAAGTTCATTTTGCCATATAAGGTAATATTCACAGGTTCCAGGAATTAGGACCTGGATATTTTGGGAGGCCATTATTTAGCCTACCACCCTTTCCCTCCAGAATTTATTTTGTTGTATAAGCACTACTTCAATGAGATTCAAGGAAATTTTTTTTTTTTTCCTTTTTTGTCTTTTTTACTGACCGGTTACGGGATCGCAACCCTTGGTGTTGCGCCCGCACCGTGCTCAGCCAGCAAGCGGGAACCGGTCTCCACATGGTATCCGAACCCTCGGCGGGAGCGCCGCCGCACTCCCAAGCGGCGCACTCTCCAGTGCGCCACCGGGCCGGCCCGAGATTCAAGGAAATTTTAAAACTTAAACTTCCTACCCATAATTCCACCACTCTACCAGGCCATCTCTTTGTTTTTCTCATTCTCTTCTGTCCTTGAATATATGCAAGCAAAATCACATATAATCCCCCCACCCAGAATGTTTGAATATATAGAAAAAACACAAAGTGTTTTTTCCTACATTCTTACTCAGCAACAATCAACACGGAAGACTGACTTCTGACCTCTGAGACCAAATGTGTGGGATAAGCAAGCTGGCAGTTCTCTAGCGGATACCAGCTGGGTGTCCTCCAATTCAACTCCAACACTATCTACTTGGAGACAGCATCAGATTCCCAAGACTGACCCCCAATTCAGATGCCAGTTGCAAGTCCAGGCCTCTGGAACTTCTGATCAACCAGCCATAAATCAGGGTTCCCAACAACCCCCACCTGGGGTTTGATTAGTTTGCTAGATCAGCGCACAGAACTTAGGGAAACAAATTTACGGGTTTATTACAAAAGGATATTTTAAAGGATATGAAGAAACAGCCAGATGAAGAGATACGCAGGGCCAGGTCTGGGATGGTCCGGAGTGCAGGAGCCTCTGTTCCCGTGGAGTTGGGGTGCGCCACCCTCCCAGCACGCAGATCAGTTCAGCTGTTGAGAACCTCCCCGAACACTGTGCTTTTGGGTTTTTCTGGTAGCTTCACTAGGCAGTCATGAGTTGAGCACAGACAACTGTGTGGAAATGGGATTGGATGAAAAGAGTATGATCTGACACTAACAGACTGGGTGGGGAAACCCAGCAAGGCCTGTTCCGATTCTTCTCAGCCTCTCTGTGCAGCATCCCTTCCTCCTGCGTACGGGTGGAAGCCCTTCTTGAATGTGGGTCTTATGACCTACAATCCACTAATGAAGGTCAGAGAATTTCTTTATGGCCAGCTCCAAGACGGAAAGGTGGAGGAAGGTTAGAACAAGGCAGGAACCGTGGACAGAAACCAAAACGTATATATAATATCACACAGAAGAACCCCTGCTAACTTTTTAGGTGTATCCTTCCAGCGTTTCATATGTGAGAGTACTTCAAAAAGTTTGGGGAAAATGGAATTGAAAGACGATACAAATCCTACCATGAACTTTTTGAAGACCCCCCCTCATAATTAAAAACATTTTCTTTAACAAAAATTAACTCATGCTATACATGTGGTTTTGTAACCTCCCCTATCACTTCATAGAATACAAATCTTTTTCTAAGTCAATGAATGAATATCCATCTACCAGGTTATGTCACATGGCTGTGCATGTTTTCATCATGTGACTATACTATGATTTTGTCATGTGGATGTATATTTTCATTTTATTCGAGTTAAAGTCTCCAAGAGTTGGGGAAAACAAAGGAAGTTGCCACTAAGTGAAGGTCCTGGTTTGTATCTATTGGACACTTTCTGTGTGCCGGGTGTCCTACCTTTTCTGATTTGAGCCTCACCTCAGCCCTCTGTAGGCACCACTATTAGCCCATTCTACAGATGAGGAAACTGAGGCTTGGCTTCCCTAGATTTCACAGCTGGGAAAAGATGGAGCCAAGATTTAAGCCTGGATTGCCTGACTCTGGGGCTGTGGTCTCAAACCTCTGTATCTACCGCCTCTCCAGAGCAAGGATTCTCCAACTTGAGTGGGCATCAGAGACCCCTGGAGGAGGGCTGTTAAAACACCTATCACTGGGCCCCAGCCCCAGAGTTTCCGATTCACTAGGTCTAGAATGGGGCCCAAGAATTTGCATGTTTAACAAGTTCCTGGTGATGCTGATGCTGCTGGCTTGGGGGCCTCTCCTCTTTGAGATCTGTGCACTAGGGAATCTGGCATGTTAGGTATAGCTCTTTTTCAGCATGAGATACTCTACTGAGAACCTCTCTGTGTACCATCTGCCCCCACCTTGTGTACCTCAAGCATGCCTTGAAATCCAAACCCAAGAGAACGAGACAGTGAGGCCCCTATAGGGGGTCCCAAGTTAAAGAGGAGGCAGCGTTAGCTCATATACTGGATTCTTTTTTTTTTTTTTCCTTTTTGTCTTTTTTACTGACCGGCAACGGGATCGCAACCCTCGGTGTTGCGCCCGCACCATGCTCAGCCAGTGAGCGGGAACCGGTCTCCACATGGGATCCATTACTTTCTTAGGACTTCCTGAGCTAAGGGAGAAAAAAAATATGGTGGATCGTTCAAAACCCCTTCCTACTTCCCTTCAGAATGAGTTCATACCTGAGGAAGTTCTTCTTTCTTTGACCTATGCAGCCAATGCTGGTCCTTGTCCTGAAAACTTACTGCCTCCTAAGAAAATTAAAACTCCAAAGGTGCGTATAAACATGTAGAGTACTTGGAACATTATTTTCTGGTAATCCAGTTCATTAAGTATTTATTGAGTATATGTTATATATTCCAGATAGTCTTAAAACAATTTTTTTTTTTTTTAAAGATGACCGGTAAGGGGATCTCAACCCTTGGCTTGGTGTTGTCAGCACCACGCTCTCCCAGTGAGCAAACCGGCCATCCCTATATAGGATCCGAACCCACGGCCTTGGTGTTATCAGCACCGCACTCTACCGAGTGAGCCACGGGCCGGCCCTATACTGGATTCTTTTGTTGCATGTTGGGTTCTTCGTTTATTTTGTAACCGCGAGAATAGTCTCCTGTAGAAGTTCTGGTCTTAGCTTACCAGGTTTGCTAGGTGTTCAGGAAAAGTCATGGTGGACAGTTGGACCGCAGAGTGAAGGGGAGGCTGAGGTTGTGGTCTCCTGTCACCAGTATGGTAGGAAAGGAGACTCTGATGCATAACAGACCACCCCAACACTTAGTGGCTTAAGATAACAGCATATGTTAGCTCACGGTTTCGTGGATCAGCATTTTGGAGTGGGCTCCGTTTCTTCTGGTCTTGCAGTTGGGTCATGCAGATGCACCTGCAGTTGGCTGGCAGGTCAGCGGGGGGCTGGCTGGTCTAGCATGGCCTCAGTTGGGGAGGGTTGTCTGTGGTCCACATGGTCTCTCATCCTCCAGCAGGTGAGCCTGGGCTCGTGCTCATGGTGGCTGGCAAGGTCCAAAGACACAGAGTGGAAGCAGCAAGGCCTCCTGGGACCTAGGCTCAGAATAGGCCCAAGGGAACTGTCAATTCCACGGCATTCAATTTGGCCATTGGTCAAAGCAAGTGGTAAGGCCAGCACAGATTCAAGGGGGCAGGGAATACAAGTCGCCTCTTGATGGAAGGAGATGCAGTGACATTGCAGAGTATGTGGATACAGGGAGGGGTGGAGCATGGTGATCATTGTTGCCATCTAGAACACCTGAGCCTGGAAGGAGCTGGGGTAAGGTTGGGGGAAGGTGGCCCTTGCAGAGGTACAGATATGCTGCAGCAGGTCCCCACCTGCACCCCACCTCTCCCCCCAGGCCTCTTCAATGGAGTGAAGCTGGTGGTAGAGATGCCCGAAGAGACCCTGTTCACCCATCGAGGGGCCAATGTGACCCTGCCCTGCCACTACCACTACGAGCCAGCTCTGTTCACCCCAAGGCCCGTGCGCATCAAATGGTGGAAGCTGTCAGAGAACGGGGCCCCAGAGCAGGATGTGCTGGTGGCCATTGGGCTGAGGCACCGCTCCTTTGGGGACTACCAAGGCCGGGTGCACCTGCGGCAAGACAAGGAGGGTGAAGTCTCACTGGAAATTCGGGACCTGCGGCTGGAGGACTATGGGCGCTACCGCTGTGAGGTCATTGACGGGCTGGAGGATGAGAGTGGCCTGGTGGAGCTGGAGCTTCGGGGTGAGACCCCAACTGGGACTGGGTGATGCTGGAACCTGAGTGCAGAGGGGAGAGGGACCGAGAAAGCATCCAGACCTTTGTACTTTAGACAGGTAAACACATTTAATCCTCAATACAACCCCACAAGGAAGCTACTCTTACTACAGATGAGGAAACTCAGGCACAGAGAGGTTAAGTAACTTACCTAAGGTCACACAGCTTATAAATGGCAGAGCTGGGAATTTGCTACCTTTTTACCCCTTCTTGCTCACACCCCATTCAGAGAGGGAATGGGAGCTGGTTCCGCAGCTAATCATAGACAGAGCTGAGATTTGAGCAGGGTTAGCAGGCAACACAAATGAGGCAGGCTCAGTGTGAGATGATAGGGAGTGGTAGGGACTGGGGCACACCGCCGAGCCCTCATCCTGTCCAAAGGGAGCCGCTCTGTTCCACTCACTGGCTCAGCCGATGACGCCACGCCAAAGTGCAGACCCAGCACTGCCAGATTTTATGATTTGATGAGATGCTTATCTTTTTATGTGAAATCTCTGGATCCTTATGTAAAAATCTTCTATTTAAAAGAAAACCACCCAGTGCCGTTCAAACTGGTCAGACCCTTTAAGCCGGATCTTATGTGTGGGCTCCAGTTTGGAATCTCTTTTACCTTCTCCGTCTCTAGGATGGGGCTGAGTGTCCTCATATCTCTCCCACCTGTTAGGGAGACAACTCAGGCGTGGAGGACCTGACTTCGTCCCTGGCCTGTCCCAGCTGTGGCACACGGGTGCCTTTCAGGTGTAAAATAGGGAATGAGGGCAGTTCCTCCTTTACCCCCCTCAGAGGCCAGGAGGATTAATGTTGCATACTCTCAGTCTTTGCTTGCAGTATCCTCCCCAGTCCCTGTGGCTTAGAGGGTGGCTCAGAGGGGCCACATTCCTCATGCACAAAGCTGGGCATAAAGGAGGGATGGGAGAGAGCCTGCAAGAGTCAAATGTCTGGGGGCTGCAGGGGCAGCCTAGAGAAACAGGGAATCCTCATCCCGTTCCCAGAGCTCTAAGGGCTGGGAATTTGGGGTAGGGTCAGGAGTAAAACAATCCCCCTGCAAACACAGATGCTGATTGTCAGGGTCCCTGGGCTTCCGTGCCCTCTCAACCTGGCTTTGTCCAGGAGCCTGGCTTCCTGCCCTAGTGAGACTGGAGGTTTGGGGTTCAGGATTTTCTCAGGTCCCTGGCCACAGGGAGGAGATTCCAAGGGCTTGGGCCCTGCTTCGAAATAACACAACCAAACGGGGTCCCCTCCTAGACCCCTAGGGTCTCTCCTACTGCTTAAGATTGCATCTGACTTGGTAGGAACCAAATCTTGGATGTTTCAGAAACTTTTTATTATAGTAAAATTCAAACATGAACAATAACTTTTGAGGGGATCCTGTGGTCCCATCAGATCCTGGCCACCAGGAGGAAGGCCCTCTATCTTATGACCTCCCTGACCTCGAGCCTCCTTTATTGACCGGCCTTTTACCACCCCTCTTTCCAAAGCATCTAGGGCCTCTCCTTCCCCTGAATATCGTCCTTCACACGTGGAAAGTGTCCTGCATTCTCCTCAGAAGCTTCCACATTAGTAACATGTATGACCAGATCTCAGCTATTGAGAGGGAGCTGGGCGCCAAACCCAGTCTCTAGAGCCCAAAGCCTGTGCCCGTCTCCTGTAGATGGCAGCATGTACTCGTGGAGGTCCTTGCAGCAGCCCTGTGAATTAGGCTTAATTCCCATCCCATGGTTGGGGACATTAGTTGACTGATTAATTAATAAATTATCTTAACAAGCTAATAAATGTTTTCTGAGTACTGTAGTGTGCCAGGATAGGTCCAGGAGCGGGCGGTGGGCTCTGGCTTGGACTTGGCAGTGGACAAGAGATTAGAGGTTTGCTGAGCTTTTCTGAAGGACGGTGTATGTGTGTGTGTTGGGGGGAGCACGTCCCAGGAGAGGTGGAGGAGGGCTGGGACATTCAGCCAGCTGGGCCCCTGCCCACCCCTCCAAGCTCTTATTTCCTCCCTCTCTAGGTGTGGTTTTTCCTTACCAGCCTCCCCAGGGCCGCTACCAACTCAACTTCCATGAGGCCCAGCAGGCCTGCGAGGAGCAGGATGCGGTGGTGGCCTCCTTCGAGCAGCTCTTCCGGGCCTGGGAAGAGGGCCTGGACTGGTGCAACGCAGGCTGGCTGCAGGATGCCTCAGTGCAGTACCCCATCACGCTGCCCCGGCAGCCCTGCGGTGGCCTGGGCCTGGCGCCCGGCGTGCGCAGCTATGGTCCACGCCACCGCCGCCTGCACCGCTATGACGTGTTCTGCTTCGCTGCTGCCCTCAAGGGTGAGTGCAATGGTCCAGCACAGGCCTGCGGGTTTGGTGGCTGTATGGGGCCAGCGTCTGGGGAGCTTCTGGTCTCCTCTGCCTGCCCTACACCAGCAGGTCTTGAAACAATGTCCGTCTGAGTTTTCCATGTTTTGCCACTGCCACTTCATACAGATTATTGGTTTATTCATTCATCTAACATTTCTGAGTGCCTACTATGTGCCGGGGCCTAGACTTGACTCTAAGACATCAGAGACAAAATACAGTCTGTCCTCACAAAGCAGCTCATTTCATGGGAGGATAAAGAAGTAAAGACAGAAATTGGTTCAGTGCCATATCCCAAGTGCCTGGCACTTAATAGGGGCTCAGTAAATGATGGAGCAGGCGAGAGACTCTGACTGGTCCAGCCTTGGTGGGGTGCCCATCCAGTGTACAATTTGGGAAGGGTGGTGGGGGAGTACAGACATGACTGAGGGACCCCAGCCCTGTGGCAGGTGGGATGGGCTGTTAGGGGGTGAGGACTGGGAAGGTGCACCCCCAAAGTGTCCACTGCAGATGCCCTGGACTTAGACAGTTTCCAGGTGCTGGGGGCTGGCACTGCTGCAGCCCCTGCTGTCCTCTGTGCTGCCCCCTCGATGCCCAGCATTCACATCCCATTTCCCCCAGGGCAGGTGTACTATCTGGAGCACCCTGAGAAGCTGACTCTGACAGAGGCAAGGGAGGCCTGCCGGGAAGACGGCACCCAGATCGCCAAGGTGGGCCAGCTCTTTGCTGCCTGGAAGTTCCATGGCTTGGACCACTGCAACGCTGGCTGGCTGGCAGATGGCAGTGCCCGCTACCCTGTGGCTCACCCCCGTCCCAACTGTGGGTCACCGGAGCCTGGGGTCCGAAGCTTCGGCTTCCCAGACCCGCAGAGCCGCTCATATGGCGTCTACTGCTATCGCCAACGCTAGCACCTGGGGTGGCCAACGCTGTACCTGCTCCGTTCCCTCATGGGCTGTGTATTTATTGAGTGGTTCATTTTCCCGTGCAGGTTGGGGCAATTTCAGTATTATTAGTATATCTAACAGAATCCAGCTCCTCTCTTTGCTCAGGTGAAGAGCCCAAGGCTCCCCTTCCAGGAACCCTCCTGTCCTCTCATCTGGGACATGTGGGGTTCATGGGTTTTTAGAAGGCTCTTGGCATCAGTGAATCCAGCCTGTCTCCCTGCCCCGATGAGGCTGATGCCCAGAGTGGGCATGTTCTGCCAGGGTGCACAAGGTGTCGGGGTGCAATGGCTGCAGCTCTCCCTCCGCCTCAGCCTGGGGAGGGAGAGGACATGGCGGGGGCTGTGGAGCTGGGCTTTGGGCCATGCAGTCTCCTGCCCCCTCCTGCTGCTCTGTGAAGTTGCTGGCCCAAATCAGCCCCACTGAGGAGCTGGAGCCTGAAGTGGGTCCTAGGCTTCCGGGTGAGATCCAAGGAAAGGGAGAAATCCCCCTCCTAATTCTCCCCTCCTCTTTTGGTTCCAAAGAGTCTGTGTTTTGTTTTCATTTTTCCCTATTTGGGGAGCAGCCCTCAGGTGTGTGTACTTTGTTTGGACAATAAATGGTGCTGTGACCCCTTCCTCCCTCCCCAGCCCTCCTCTGCATCTTGTTCTCTGTCTCCATGTCATTCAGTCTCAGGGCCCGGTGGGCATGGTGGGGGCAGTCCTATTCCAGGCTTTGCAGGTGGATGGGTCAGTTCACTGGGGTGGGCAGGGAATTGCATGGGCTGCCCCCTCAGGCTGACTTGGTTCTGGCCCTGCCTGTCCCATGACACACCCTGCCTATGTCCCCTCCATCCTTGCCCCCCGTGGGGTCTACGTGAGGCCCAGCGGAAGAGTGGGAGGTTCCTCCCAGGGACAGGAGGCCCTCTTGGAGGGTCTTGGAGGCCCGGGATCTTGGGGACCAACCTTCTCTGTGCCTAGCCCCGTGCCCCCCCCTTTCACCCCCACCTCAGGAAACCAGACCCGTAGCCTCTGCACAGGCACGCCCCTGCCACTCACCAACCAGTTATTCATTCAGTTCTTCACTTGCCAGGTGCTTCTCACAGTGTGGCCAGGAGCATCAGCATCTCTGGGAACTTGTTAGAAATGCAAATTCTTGGGCCCCACCCCAGACCTGCCAAGTCAGAGACTCTGGGGGTGGGCCCAGCACTCTCTTCTCACGAGCCCTCCAGGGGATTCTGATACATGCTCACATTTGAAAGCCATTGACATAGACAGTTGTGCCACCAGCTAGTGAGTGAATTAATCCATTCCTTATATCATTATTGAGCCCCTGCTATGTTACCAGTGCTCTGCTCTTTTCTTTGACCCACCCATTCTTTCCAGAGCTATAGGTAACCTGGGCGTACGTTCACCAGCAGTTGACCATACACATGTCCACACCTGAAGAGATACAGCATGCACAAACTCATGCCGGCACGTACCAACCAACACAGACACATTCACAAGGCCTCCACGGCACGCTGAGCAACTCTGATGAGGGAGGTGACCCGAGGAGGAGGCATTGGTGGAAGGACTCTGTCCGGCATGCACCCCCCTGCTCAACACTCAAGATTTGTCGGGGAATCCGTAAACAATTGAAATTGTTTACATTGCTATCCTCCAGCCTACTTAAGGGCAGAATGCCCTGACCTATTTGCTAGCAGCCGGCTAACCTAGCTAGTTTACCCCCAGAACGTGTGAGATTTCCCTTTTCCCAGACTGTCTGCAGTTGGTTTTTTCCTTTGCTCTTATAAAGACTGAGTTTTGCCCCATTCTTGGGTTCAGTCTATCAAGCACCCCCTCCCATGTTAGCCGACAATGGGACACCAAAGAACCAAACTATGCCAGGGGCCCAGACGTCTCACTTGAGTTGTTCTTGGACAATGTGCCCACTCACAAGTGCACACACTGCACCCACTGACAGATGTCACATGTGACAGCCACACCCAGGCACACTCCACATTCACACACACACACGCAGAGAATCCATCAAACATATCAGCACCCTTGTAAAAATAAAGCATAACAGACGTGACTGTCCCAGGCTCTCTGAACAGACAGGAGTCACACCAATTTGGGATCATTTGATCAAAAGTGTCCCTACTGCCACCATTCCTAAGAGCTTCTTCAGTAGACCCAGATCATGGCTGCCTTCTCTTTGAATTAAAAAAAGGGAAAAGAAAAGAAATAGATCTCTTCCAATGTCTTTATTATAATTATCATAAACTTTAGTTTTCAAAAATATAAATAGGTGCTCGGAACCCTGGTGCCTGCACGGTCCCGGGGGGTGGGAGTGGGGGAGAAGGATGGGGTGGCACTCCCAGTGGGAAGGAAAGTGCCCCCACCCAGCCCTGCCAAGAGGGACACCTGCTAGGGTGGCAGACCCGAGTGAGAGGACACTGGAAGAGGGACCCTTGGAGGAAACCTGACCCCCAAGTGATGGAAGATCCCTTTGATGGCTCTCTCCTGCCCGCTCATCGTGGGCTGCAACCCGCCCCCTCTCCCCCGAGGCTACTACCCCACACAGATGGTGCAGCCCTCCTGGCTCCTCCTCCAATACATTCAGCTGCGGTTTGGTTCCAAGTTCTTCGTGCCCTCAGGCCTCGGCCTCTTCCAGCTCCTCTGGCCCCTTCCCCCTCCTCCCCAGCTCTCCCTGGAGGTGAAATAACCAACAACTGCACTGCTCTTGGATAAAGTCAGGACACAAAAAATAATCTTATTTATTTAACTTAACCCCTCCCCTTCTCCCCGTCCCTGCACTGGTCCCTGGAAAGGCACGGTGGGAGATTGAAGAAATGTCTCTAAACTCAGTCCACGGGTTACAATAAATTTGCTTTGCTTTGGCATTTGGGGGACAAATTAGATGCAGTTTTGGCGATCCAGGGGGGTGGGTGGGTGCATACACAATGTGGGTTTTATTTTTTTCTTCTTTAATGGGATTCCTTATATGACAAAAGCGACAAGAAGAGGACACCATCTGGGTGGGACGCACTGTCAGCCTGCAGGCTCCTGGGCTCAGCATCCTGGGCGTGTTCTGGAAGCTCCTCTCAGTGGGTCGTGCTGGGGCGGTTCCTCCTTGGGGGCCGTGAGCTCCGCTTCTGTAGTCTGCGCTTGTAGGTGGTGGCTGGGGTGAAAGGGAGGTGGAAAAATAGCGGTGAGAAAGTAGGCTGAGCCTGGGCTCTGCCCAGCTTGCTCTCTCTCCCCGTGGAAACCGTGGGCTCCTTAAGCCAGCCCGAGGCTATACATGCTTCCCGGATTTCGATTTTTCTTTGAGCCTCCTTGGGCTAAGGAGATTCAGTCAGGCACTGAAAAGGAAAGTAGGCCACCAGTTTTCTCCTTAATCCTCTCAGTAAAAGTGAGCCCTCTCCTGGGGCAGGTACCTGGCTCTCTCTAGGGGCAGGGGTCAGTGATTTGTGACTGAGCAGTCCTCTGACCTCATGACCCTTGCTCAACCCTGTAGACGGTGCAGGATCCCTGGGAGAGGGTGAGCTGCCACCGCTGTGCCACGGGAACAGGGAGAAGGCTGTGCTGGCAGACTCTGGTCCTGTGCCCAGCTAGGAGTGGGAGGGGTGATGCTCACGGTCTGTGCAGGTGATCCGAGGCTCCTCCCAGTGCCCGCTGGGCTGGCACCGGATGGTGGGCACGTGGCGCTGGACAAAGCCCTCGGCGCACTGATACCGCACCAGGGAATTGATCTCATATCGGTCTTTCTTCTGCCCGAAGGTCCTGGCATGCTCCACTACGGGGGGGTTTCCGCAGGCCACTGAGGGGAAAGACACCTTTTAGAAAGAACTGTCTAAAGGTCTTCCGTGATGACCCACACTGGCTGCAATGAGACAGCCCAGAGCCCTGCCACCCAACTGTGGGCCCTGACTGCTAGCAAAAGGTGTTTCCTTTTAGTGCTAAGAATCTGGAGACCGCTGGTTCTAACATCTGGCTTCCTCAGTGATTTAGAGCAGCAGGAAGGGAATACAAAGGGGATTCTTAAGGGGATGAAGAAAGGACAGTGGGGAGGGAGAAAGGTAGGGAAAGAGGGCCAGGAAGTCCGTCTGTGGCTTCTTTATGAAAACATCCAGTTCAGGGAAAAGTGGGACCCAAAGGGGGCCTGGGGATGCAGGACTATGAGCAGGAACAGGTGGGACATGTCTTACCAGCACCTTGATGTCCAAAGACTTAAAGCTGAGGGATCAAGGCCTGACAACTCTGACCCTGGGAGCCCCAAAGAGAGAAGCTTCCAACCCAGCTGCCATGGTGGGTGTCTTCCTGCTGCCGATATCCAAGGGACTGTGTCTATGTGTGGAGTAGGGGTCTTGTCCTCTCGCCTGTGAAGTGTCTGCATATGGTCCCTGGGAGTGAGCCTACCCTTGCCCTTGGCTCTGGGATGCCCATGCTGAGAGAGGCCCCCCAGGTCAGCTCCAATTTGCTTGTTGGACAGGTGAGGAGACACCAGCCACAAGGAGACAAGGGGACCCACCTCAGATCCCACAGCAAGAACCTCAGCTAGTGCCGAAAGTCTTGAGCCCATCTGCTCTGGACCGCCGCCCAGGCCCCTGCTTACCTGTGCCCTTTTTACACGTGAAGGGCAGGTGGTAATTGCAGGGGACGTCATTCCACTCGCCCTTCTCATGCCAGATCATCACCACGCAGTCCTCTCCGGTGGCAAAGAAGTTGTCAGGCTGGTTGGGGCGCCAGTTCTCAAATTGCTGCGGGTGGGAGTGGGCGAGGGGTGAGGGGAGAGGGGGCAGGGGCAGCGCGGCTTGGCCTGACCCCACTTTCTTTCCCCTCCAGCCTCTCCCCCATCTCCTCTCTCTTTTAGCCTAACTTCTGGCTCATCGGGCAGTGGCAAAGGCTGCTGGGAGCCAGGTCAGGGTTGTCCTAGGCGCTGTGGAACCCATGGCTTCTCCACAGAACTGGTCACACGGCCTGACTCTGGTCCTTCGCAGGATCTCAGAAACCCCAAGGATCCACAGCTCCTGTTCATGAGCTGATTCCACTCCTCTTTTCCATAAAGGCTGACAAGGCTGACCATAAACTCCCCCTTGCTTGGAGAGGAACAGGGCTCTCAGGTTGGGACTCTGCTGGCCAGGGAAGTCCCCCAGGCTTCTCCTCTTAGCCTTGCTCAGGAGAGTCCCTTTTCCTCTAAGTTAATTGCTCTCAGTTGTCTCTTCCAGGGGCCCTTCTCTGAGGCCCTCGGCATTGACTCCCCGTACTGTTCACTTGGCATCTGTGTTGCTTTCTGACTGTCTCCTTGAGTAGACTCGAGTCCTTTGTGGGCAAGAGACCCCTCTCAAGAGTCCATATGTCCCTCCTGATGGTTTGCTGTCATCCCTCCTTGTCCTTCCTGGCTCCTCCCTCACCTCATGCCCTCATTCCTCCACCAGTGCAGCCTGGGCTGGTCCCCAGAGGCGGAGGTAAGTGAGACACACCTCCTTCCCTCAAGGGCTCCTGCTCAGTGAGGGCTTGCGTGTGGCTTGAATGCATCTATCCCTGAGGGTCTTCATCTCCTCCCCTTCTCTGCACCACCAGCTGTGCCCGGTGCCCCCAGCAGAACTCACCAAGGAGTGTCCATCTGACCAGCGGAAGTCCCCTTCGATGGTTCTGTCATTCAGACCGATCCACTGGTAGTCCTGAGCATTGTCTGGAGAGAGGATGTGGGTGTTGGGCCTGGCATTGGAAACCCTCAGGGTGTCAGAAACTTGAGCTCATAGAGGCAGAGGGGACCGGGGGGAGGAGGTGGGTGGGCTCCTCAGAGCATGCCACCTGCTTCTAAGTCTTTTCAAGGGTCTCAGCATGTGCCTGTTTGGGGTGCACTCCAGACCACCTCTCCAAACAGACATGGGCAGGTGACAGCCACAGAGTTAGTCTGGGGCTGACTCTGAGCAGTGGGCTGTCCTGGGTGCAGTCAGCGCTGTCAGCCCAAAGACCTCTGTCTTCTTCTCTAAGGAACTCAGGCTGTGGGGACACCCATCCCTCCCTCCCTTCCTTCCCCCACCCCTGCAGCCTCACTGGGCCCATGTCTGTCAAATTATGACAAGTGAGGCCCTTTGCCTGCATGACCGCTCTCCTCTCAGGCCCCGCTGCACTCACTGTTGACAAACTCTTGCTCCTCAGGGGTGACGATGCTGCTCAGGTGTGACTGCTGCTCCCGACACCGGCCCTCAGCATCCACCCAGGTCTCTCGGTCAGGGAAGTGGCGGTAGCAGTGGCCCTGGAACTTGGTCCAGCCTTCTTCACATACCTCCTGGTCTGCAACACAGGTCAGGGGCTTTAGGGAGGGGCCCAGGTAGACTGGAGGTGGTGGTTGCTGCCAGTCTCCTGGCATGGATTCCTGTAGTCACCCCACCTTGAATGTTGCACCTTCAAGGGAAGGGAGAGGCCCAGCTGGAGAGGGGTTCAGGTTGGAAACCAGGAAGGCCTGGTCCCCAGAGCCTCTGAGCATGTTCCCAACTTCTGGGAAATGCCACAGGCCCTGTCCTTCCCCGATTTCACCCCCCGCCCCCCATCACCCCCTCCTAAGCTTTCTTCCTGTTGAGGCCTGCTCTGGAGGGCTGGCAGGGCTCAGCAGGCCAGATGAAAAGAGGTAGGAGGGTGGGAGGTTCTGAGATTAAGGCAAAACATAGTTCAGAGGCTCTGTGGGGCTCCCGGGAGAGCAGAGCCCTGGGGAAGTGTGGAGGCAGCAGGAACCAGCAGTGCTGGGCAGGACCCGGAGCTTCCTTCCTCAGAGGCTTGGCTGGGACTGGAGGAGCAGAAATAAGCCTGCTTCAGTCCAAAGCAGACGTGGAGCTCTGAGGCTACTGATCAGAGCTGGCTCTAGTGGAACACGCTGAGTCTGCCTCTTGGAGCAAGACAGCCAGCTGGAGGCCTATGACTCAGGTCATCTGGCTTTTTATTTATTTATTTTGGTGGCAGATGGGAAGAGGGGAGGAGCTTCTCCCCTCCCAAACCTAAATTTGTAATGGGTTCTCCTTTTTTGGAGAAAAGGCCGTTTGGAGCTCTTGGAGCAGCTTAGGGGAAAAAGGGTAGAGACATGCTGGAGCCCGCTCATTCAGGATCGAAAGAGGTAGTTGTGTGTCTTCCCAATGCTGCCTTCAGTGACATCACGTTGGTAGCTTTAAATTGGCCCTAGTGGATGGGAATATTTACACCTCAGGAATTGGCAGATGCTGCCAATCAGGGCTCCCCTTCCTCTGCAAGAACTGGTTGTTAAACTGCCAGCACAGCACTGGAGAGAGGGAATTTCCAGACCCTCTCTTCCTACTCCCATTGGGCCTCTCAGCCCTGGGGCTGAGTGGAGGGACATGAACTCCTCGGCTGTATGGCAGCCTTTTTGATTGGGTGCCACCAATAGTCTGGCTGTCACAGGGAGGAAGGTCCAGTACCTGAGGGAAGGAGTCTTAGGCTGAAGGGTAGATGCTTGGCAAGGCTGGAGGAGAGACAGTCGGGAATGGTAGAGAGTGAGGGGAGAGGAGGCTGGCAGCCTGAGAAGAAAGAGGCAGAGCAGCCAGGGGAGCTGAGGAAGAGGCCTCTGGTTCCCCTGCTACCAGCACCTTCCCCAAGAGGTGAAGCAAACTTCTGGAAAGAGGCAGAGAGGCCTCAGAGAGAGCTCAGCACCATAAGGAGGACAGAGACGTCTTCCCGGGCTGGCTTGTGTGGTCAGCTCCTGGGCCACCTCAGTGCCAGAGGGCTGAGCTGGGCAGGCAGAGCTGGAGGGTGCAGCTGCTCTGGGAGGGGGGGAAGGACCATGCAGGATGGAGGCTCTGGGAAACAGAAATGGAATTCCAGGAAGGCTGGAAGCAGCAGCAGGGACAGGGTCAAGCCACAAGGCACCAGGCACCTGTGGGGTGGTGAGTGCTCAGGATTGGGAGGGGAGAAGAGATGTGACTCTGCCTAGCTGGGCACCCAGGCCCTGGCCCAGTGGAGTGGCTCCAGCACCATCTCTCTGCTCCATCAGGGTGCAGAGCCCAGGGAGGGCCCTGCCTCTGTCCCAGCAGAGCCCCCTTTCCCAGGCTGGAGCCCAAGAGCTGTTGTCTGCATGGTTGTTCCACACCCTTCTCCCCTGTGGCAAATGTTTTGGCATCCTGGGGAGAAAATCCTTGCAGCTCTCCACTCTCACCCCAGCCAAGACCCCATGAACCAATTCTTTGAGGGCTTGGGGTGAGGCTGCAGGGGAGGAGGGGTGTCCAGGCCTTTTCTTCCAGAAGCCTTAAGTTCCTCTACCAGTCTGTAACCTTGGCAGTGCCTCCAAGGAATGTGCAATCCAAAACCACCTCCCCATACTGTGCAGAACGAAAGGGAGACATCCCAGGAGTTTCAGTGGCTTTCAGAAAGTTTCTGGGTATCCAACTTGAGAGTTCATTGGAAAGGGTTTTGAGCCCCTGCTCGCTTCCATTTCTGTGTGGGCCATTGCCCTGAGCATCCAAAAGTCCCATCTCTCCTTTCCTGAGCTGGGAAGCCCCTGATGTCAGGAGGCTGCGGGTGGGGCAGGGGACTAGGAGGCACCAAAGGCGAGAGAGCTGGGGGCTCAGTCTGGCCCTGGGAGGGTTCCTGGCACACAGCTCCCTTGGCAGAGCTTGCAGCCCAGCCTAGGTGCACAAGTGGAAAGGTTGGTAAGGCCCAAGAGAGGAAACTCAGACTCTGCCCCTTCTATAGCAGGACTCTGTTCTCTCTAGCCAGCCTTTGCCTTGCACAAGGGAAGGTGAAAGGAAGCATGGGCTAGCATGGCATTGACATGGCAGCTGTCATGGTGGTGATGAAGAGGTGACATGCAGCAGTCCCTGCTCATGCATGACTTGAGCATGCTGGTGACACGGGAGCTCTCAGGCAGACAAACCACAGCTCTCGCCCCAGGAGAATAGGTAGGCAGCTCAGCAACATGGCACGGTGGCTCCCAGGGCCATAGAGGGGCCACAAAGTTCCCATGCATAGTACAGCAGGCAGACACATGCTCATGACCACACTGGTAAGATCTGTGGCTGTCATCAGAGTGAGAACCAATTACTCCCACCCTGTAGCTTCCTTCAAGACAAATGCATGGAATCAGCTCTGCCCTCTCAGTGTGATGTGTGCACCGACCTCAGTTGTGGCATCAACAGGTCTGAAAGCCCCAGAGAAGGTTAAGTGTTTTAAAGGGTCCCACAGCCCCACCTTCCAAAGAGCAGGCTGTCCCGGCCTGCACATCCTCCTGAGGTCAGATCAGCTGATGCCCCACAGGAGGGTGTTCAAGGGAAAGAGCAGAAGAAAGAGTGGGAACAGAGGGGCAGACTTCTCAGTTGTGGCCCCTGGGATGGCTGTCCGGATGGACCCTGGGGGCCCCAGTCAGGGCCTAGAGCCTGTGGTTAGGAGGGGAGGGTGAGGGAGGAGGAGGGGGTACAGCAGTTAGTAACATTAGCTGAAGCCGAGACGGCCGTACCAATCTCACACAGGTCCCCTCCGTAGCTGGGAAGGCATAAGCATGTGAAAGAGTCGATGGCATCCACGCAGGTGGCTCCATTCAGACAAGGGCTTGAGAGGCACTCATCAATGTCTGCAAGAAACCAAGGGCCACCATTAGGACTCCTGCCGGCAACTCCAGCCTTGCAAGAACTGTCGCCTCCTTATGGGTGGCCAGCCCTGCTGCTCTCCAGAGCCCTGGGAGGGGACTGGCTGGTTTTCCTAAGAATTGTTGCTGCTGCTGCTGCTGCCGCCATCTTGGAGAGCTGAACCAAAGATCCAGACAAGCGTTTTTTCTTGGATGTGTGTGATTCTTGATTGGCAAGCTTGGAGCACTGGAGCCAGGTTTCTCAGTGGGCTGAAAAGATCTGGTACTTCTGCAACCAAATGCCTTTTGTGAGAGTGAACATGGAGTTCCTCCAAGACACCTTCTCTTATGAGTATTTCAGGAAGCCATGAGATCTGAACCGGCTAAGAACATGGTGGTGAACGAAGATACTGGAAGTCAAGTTCTTGACGCTTGGTTAGAGTTCTTTCCTTTCCTGGCTTTCTCTGTAGTTACGAACCAGGGAAAGAGGGCAAGACCGTGCAGTACTAGAATGAACAACCTAGAAGTGGACTGCAGAGTATAGGTCCATGAGAAATTGGCAGCATGGAATATTTGCATGAGACTCGTTAGACTTTTGGGTTGCAGACATCTTTGTCTTCAGTAAATAAGATTCTTTATTACCAGGTAAAAATGAAGCCAGAATCTTTCAAATTTTCACCAGGTAGGCAAGGTGAGAACTGAATCTCCTAATCTGGTCTTTCTGAGAAGTAAGAAGACCTGGGGGATCTCTTCTGCTCTCTTCATGTCTGTACTCCAAAGGCTCCTACTGTGTTTTTCTGGGTTTCCTCCCTGGGAACATGACAAAAGGTATTACGAAGCTCCTCTTGCCAGGAGATTAATACAATTCTGCAATGAGTAGGTTCCACTGGCTTATGGGGCACCATATGTGGTTTGAAGATGCAGCTTCATATAACCTTATTCATATAACCTTGAGGATGTGATGACATGTCTATAGATGGTCTCCACGTGAGCAGCTAAGCCTGTTTTGGGAATAGGACCTCGGAGTCCTAAATATGTTCCAGGACTTAGTTCTTGCCTCCAGTAAGAGCAGACCAGACTTTAAACTCAATCCTCTAAAAAAATGGCAAAAGCTCTTTCCTCTGGATCCTCGTGCGAGAGCACAGTAGACATCTTCTAGGCCAGAGCGGGGTTGGTGAATTGGTGCCCCCAAATCCCATTTCAGACATCTCACTCATCCCATGAAACTCCTAATCTCCAGTTCTCGGGCATCTCTCTCTTGCCACGAAGTCCTTAACTTCATGTCAGGGTATGCACACCACGGACTAGAAACCAACAGTTCCAAGTCTGGAACTGTTCCAAGCAAAACCAAAATGCATGGCGGAACCGACTGAAATCCCGGCATGCACTCGGAGTCCCAGCATGCACCAGGATTCCCAGCAGCAGCAGTAGCAGCAATAGGCCAGGCCAGTCGGCGGGGTGGAAGCTGGGGTGGCTCTCCTGCTCCAGGAAAGCAACTGTTTGTTCTCTTTTATCCATTAGCATCATTATGGGAGATGGGAAGCACTGGGCAAGGGGAATTAAGCAAATGTAGGCGCTAAAGCAGTTGTACAGAGCAGGGGACAGGAATGGCCTCTGGGGAGAAGAGCCAGATATCCACCCTGGGGCCTCTGACCAACCCATGGGGGAGAGGGCGGGAAAGGTGGGAGGCCCCGAGGGAGCTCAGGCCAGGGGGCTTCCTGTTGTCCCA